TTTTTTTTTTTTTTTTAATAAAAATGTAATTTAAAAAATAATGTCAGTCCTGCTGCTGCAGGTTTTATACATTGTACAGATGTGCAACTTCGCAGGTAGTTTAAGGGGACCCCCCAGGCATGATATTTAAAGGAATTTAAAGAAATTTTTAATTTTTTTTTTTTTTACTTTAAACTATGAAAAATGACTGTCCCTTTTAAAAAAAAACTGTACTTTTTGGAATGTTTTTTTTTTTTTCACTGATTCATGTCCCCCAGGGTAGTACCCGAGTCCCCATACCCCTTTTATTTCCATATAAGCCTTCAAAATGGGCACTTTTGAATTTACAAGTTAGAGTCCCATAGACTTGCATCATGTTCGATGTTCGCAGTAGAACTTTCTTTAGGTTTGAATGTTTGACCGCAAACCAAGCGGGGTGTTCAGACCATCGCTATACATTAGTTGCATTTATTTGCACATATAGTGAAAACCCGCAGGTCATTCAGATCCGCAGCTCCCAAGGTACAAACAGTATCTATAAAGGCCCTAGGCCAGTGGTTCTCAACCTTCCTAATGCCGTGACCCTTTATTACAGTTCCTCATGTTGTGGTGACCCCCAACCATAAAATGATTTACCCAGTAATTATAATTCATGAAGTGTCGTTTTACCTCCAATACTGCCGCTTTCAACACAGCAGCTGCTTTCTACACAGTAGCTGCTTTCTACACAGTAGCTGCTTTTACACATCGGAAATATGTGTTTTCTGATGGTCTTAGGCGACCCCTGTGAAAGGGTCGTTCGACCCCCAAAGGGGGCGCGACCCACAAGTTGAGAACCACTGTTCTAGGCTATCTGACCTTCCTATCCTGATGTCTGCTTTCCTTTAGTTTCTGTAAATTGAATTTCACTGCTGCTTCTTCCATCGCTAAGACAGGCTGTATATTATCTATGGAAATGATTTCAATTGCAGGAAATCTGCAGGAATCCCGTGTACAATGGATTGCTCATATCCCAGTGAATGCAGACATGTCAGTGCACTCAAATATTCTGGGAGTTGCAGATTTTTTAACCCTCTTTTACTGTCACCATGTAAGATGTACAGATCTCCCAGTCCTTCACTATCTTCCAGACAGGGGCGGACTGACCATTTGTAAACTCGGGCACTGCCCGAAGGCCCGGGGTCAGTAGGGGGCCCCATGAGATGCCCCTGGTACCTTTTTCATAGGCTTTTTTGAGTTTGGGCAAGGACGCAGGGGCCCCATGATCCCCAATTGCCCGGGGGCCCCATGAGTTGTCAGTCCGCCCCTGCTTCCAGATATAGTTGCCAGGTATCCCATATTCTGTAAGACAGTCCTGATATGTCCATATGTGGAAAATACAGTAAATGTTTCTTTGGCTTTTTGGTACTGACAACCTTTATATTTGGACTTTGCATAGTGCTAACCAGGAGCAGCTATATGACATGGACTCTATCCCTCCCACTGCAGGCTGACTCCACTCTGGAGGAGTTATATGACATGGAGTCTGTCCCTTCCACCACAGAGTAACACTTCCCAGGAGGAGCTACGTGATATGGTGTATGTCCCTCCCACTATAGGGTGACAGCACCCAGGAGGAGCTATATGACATGGACTCTATCTGTCCCACCGCAGGGTGACTCCACTTTGGAGGAGTTATATGACATAGAGTCTGTCCCTTCTACCACAGAGTAACACTACCCAGGAGAGGAGCTAGGTGATATGGAGTTCAGTATGTCCCTCCCACCGTAGGGTGACACCACCCAGGAGGAGCTATGTGACATGGAGTCTTTTCCTTACACCACAGGTCTACACAGAAAGAAGCAGATATGTGACATTACGTCTATCCCTCCAACCACAGGGTGACACCACCCTGGAGGAACGATGTGACATGGAGTATGTCCTTCCCACTACATGGCAACACTAGCCAGGACGAGCGATGTGATATGGAGTATGTCCCCCCCACCACAAGGTGACACCACCCTGGAGAAGCTATGTGATATGTAGTCTGTCCCTCCCACCACAGGGTAACACTACCCAGGAGGAGCTATGTGACATGGAGTATGTCCCTTTCACCACAGGTCTACACAGACAGAAGCACATATGTGACATGAAGTCTATCTCTCCAACCACAGGGTGACACCACCCTTGGGGAACAATGGGACATGGAGTATATCCTTCCCACTACAGGGTGACACCACCCAGGAGCAATGTGACATGGAGTCTGTCCATCCCTCCATAGGGTGACACCACCCAGGAGGAGAAATGTGTTATAGAGTCTGCTCCTTCCACCACAGGTTTACAAAACCAGGAGGAGCTATGTGGCATGGAGTTTTTGTCTTTCCCACCACAAGGTGACACAGACACGGGGAGCTATGTGACATGGAGTCTGTCCCTACTACCCAGGGGCGGACTGACAACTCATGGGGCCCCCGGGCAATAGGGGATCATGGGGCCCCTGTGTCCTTGCCCAAACTCAAAAAAGCCTATGAAAAAGGTACCAGGGGCATCTCATGGGGCCCCCTACTGACCCCGGGCCCTCGAGCAGTGCCTGAGTTTCCAAATAGTCAGTCTGCTACTACCACAGGGGGAGCTATGTGACATGGGGTCTGTCCCGTCCACCACAGGGCGATACAGACAGGAGACGCTATGTGACATGGGGTCTGTCCCTTCAACCACAGGGTGACACAGGAGAAGCTATGTGACATAGGGTCTGTCCCTTCCACCACAGGGTGACACAGACAGGAGGAGCTATGTGACATGAAGTCTGTCCCTCCCACCACAAGGTGACCACTCAGGAGGAGCTATGTGACATGGGGTCTGTCCCTCCCACCACAAGATGACCACTCAGGAGGAGCTACTGTATGTGACATGAGGTCTGTCCCTCCCACCACAAGATGACCACTCAGGGGGAGCTATGTGACAAGAGGTCTGTCCCTCCCACCACAAGGTGACCACCCAGGGGGAGCTATGTGACGTGAGGTCTGTCCCTCCCACCACAAGGTGACCACCCAGGAGGAGCTATGTGACGTGGGGTCTGTCCCTCCCACCACAAGGTGACCACCCAGGAGGAGCTATGTGACGTGGGGTCTGTCCCTCCCACCACAAGGTGACCACTCAGGAGGAGCTATGTGACGTGGGGTCTGTCCCTCCCACCACAAGGTTACCACCCAGGAGGAGCTATGTGACATGGGGTCTGTCCCTCCCACCACAAGGTGACCACCCAGGAGGAGCTATGTGACATGAGGTCTGTCCCTCCCACCACAGGGTGACACATATCGTATACACAAACAAAGTGATAAGTCGTCCACATCGGACCCTGTTGCTTCTGTGTCAGACATTATTTTTGACTTGGTTTGTTTTGCTATAAAATATTTATACATAAAGCACTTTCCAAAAAAACAAAGTGACATGGAGGCAGAGCGTGGAGGAGGGGCAGTGACCACAACCACATACAGAGAACATGTTAGCACCAACAGGATAAAACCTTCTATCTCGGGGAGGCTGACAGAGTAAACACGGCACAGATGGCCCTTATAATAAGTGCCTAAAAAAATCATTTTCCTGTTTTGACTACAATTCCCCTTTAAACTACAAACTCGGCCCCCTCCTCGCACTGCTGACACTTTTACAGGGAAAAACATTTACAATCATGGAACACTTTCACAATGAGTCATCCCCGAGCCTCTCTGTTACACAAGGACAGAATGAGACAAGCCGAGTGTAAACCTTTCACAAACATGTTACAAAATCATACGTAAACACTCGAGATCTGGGTGTCTGTGACCGGAATGGATTGTCGCAGCAGCAGCATTCCTTGGGAGGGCCAGACGCTGCTTACCTGGGGCCAAACAAGAGGTGAACTCCGGCTGCACACAGATAGTTGTGCTTAAAAGTACAAGTAACATGAAGAATTTGCATTCAACTTTTATTCTAACATTTGTCTGGTGACCATGTCTACTTCTGTCACTATTGTCACCAGAACCTTCGCTTTTCACCAGTTCATTCTTGAAAAAAAAAAAAAAGTAACAAAACTAAAAAATAACAAATTAAAAAGGAAAATGGTGCCGCGCCCTTATATTAGAACCGTGAATAAATAAATAAAATCAATTTTTAACAAATAATAATTCTATCATTTATAAATAATTACCCTTAATTTCTCCAAATATAGAAATATATAAAATGTGCAACTCATTAATATACATCAATAAAAAAAAAAAAAAATTAAATAAATAATCTAAAAAATAATTAATATTAATTGATAAAAATAACCAATATTGATAAAAATAAATACATTTAAATGAATAATATAAATTATAGAATTATTCTTTTTTAAAAATTGATTTTATTTATTTATTCAGGGTTCTAATATAAGGGCGCGGCACCATTTTCCTTTTTATTTGTTACTTTTTGTATATTCAATGAGAATATAGCTAGGAGCTCGCAAACTTACCTTAGAACATAGATTTATAGTGGCTCATAGGATATTTTTATTTTAAAACGAAAAAATACACTTTTTTCTGCTTTGATCAGCTTACTAAACCCACAACAGTGAAATTCGTCTGTATATGCAGTAACGCATGCTTGTTGTACTCACTGTGGAACTTCAGGGGTTAATCCTCTGCATTGTGTAAAAAGGATGTTTGATCCTGTCTTCTCTGATTCGCCCCTTCTTCCATGTTCCCCATTTCATCTCCTGATAAAACAGAGCCTCATGGACACTCTGCACATGCTCAGTTTGCTGTGTACTGCTAGAGAGTTTTTTTCTTGGGAGGATGCATGTGATCAGCACAGGGTCAATCAGCACTGTCGAGACAGAGGGTCAGGGGTCATGCAATGTCATAGGGCAGTGACAGGAGAATGAATACTCCTCCATGAAGCTTTAACAAGTGCTCAACTGAACACTTATAGAAGTCACAAGACTGCTCTAACTGCTGATGAGAAAAGGTATTTAGAAGTTTATATTTACTAAAATAATTACATTTCCATGTTCTGTGTACTGTGGGAGACCAGATATAGTGAATGCAGGGTCCGGGGAGACCAGATATAGTGAATGCAGGGTCTGGGGAGACCAGATATAGTGAATGCAGGGTCTGGGGAGACCAGATATAGTGAATGCAGGGTCCTGGGAGACCGGATATAGGGAATGCAGGGTCCTGGGGAGACCGGATATAGTGAATGCAGGGTCCGGGGAGACCAGATATCGGGAATGCAGGGTTCGGGGGAGACCAGATATAGTGAATGCAGGGTCCGGGGAGACCAGATATAGTGAATGCGGGGTCCAGGAGACCGGATATAGTGAATGCGGGGACCGGGGAGACCGGATTTAGTGAATGCGGGGACCGGGGAGACCGGATATAGTAAATGCAGGATCCGGGGAGACCAGATATAGTGAATGCAGGGTCCGGGGAGACCAGATATAGTGAATGCAGGGTCCTGGGGAGACCAAATATAGTGAATGCAGGGTCCTGGGGAGACCAAATATAGTTTATGCAGGGTCCGGGGAGACCGGATATAGTGAATGCAGGGTCCTGGGGAGACCGGATATAGTGAATGCAGGATCCAGGGAGACCGGATTAGTGAATGCAGGGTCCGGGGAGACCAGATATAGTGAATGCAGGGTCCTGGGGAGACCGGATATAGTGAATGCAGGATCCGGGGAGACCGGATATAGTGAATGCAGGATCCGGGGAGACCGGATATAGTGAATGCAGGGTCCGGGGAGACCGGATATAGTGAATGCAGGGTCCGGGGAGACCGGATATAGTGAATGCAGGGTCCGGGGAGACCGGATATAGTGAATGCAGGGTCCAGGGAGACCAGATATAGTGAATGCAGGGTCCTGGGTTCAGTAACACTTTAAAAAACAGATACTAGTGTTACTCTAGATAAAAATATCGATTTCAATTCTATAATCTGACACTAAAATGATGGTTCTGATAGAAATCATTCACACGTTAATGAAATAAAAGGCTTTTTTGCACTTATTTTTAATGTGACACTGAAAAAAATAATGAACAAAATTACCAAAAATGTAATGAATGTTTAAGGTAATTGCTACCCCTACATTTCATATTCCTGTTATGTGTCTGTTGTACCAGATATCTGTGTTCATACATATCCTGTTCTCTTTGTTTTTCTTTATTTGTGTTCATTTCAGCCCCTCTGATTTCCTATTAAAAAAAACTAACCACACTAGGCAGGAGAGCACATCCATCCCAGTATGGTCAGTTTTCTGGTTGTGCTAGGAGCACAGCCTCCCTGTCCTCCAATGGCCAAGACTTGCACTGGGAAGCTAATCACTGGGAATATCAGTGTATTGCTCTCTCTCTCTGCCTGCTACTGACTCCCCCCTCCCCACAGTCTCCTCCCCCAGCCCTCTAAGCCCCTTGTGCAGCTGAGAATACAGGTCATCTGATCACTTATAAAAAGAAAAAAGAGGTATATATCAATACAACTTGTGTGTGTATGTATATATGTATGTATATATATATATATATATATATATATATATACTGTGTATATATATATATACACACATACACTATATTGCTAAAAGTATTGGTCGGGCCGACCTTTACACACACATGAACTTTAATGGCATCCCAGTCTTAGTCCGTAGGGTTCAATATTGAGTTGGCCCCGCCCTTTGCAGCTATGACAGCTTCAACTCTTCTGGGAAGGCCGTCCACAAGGTTTAGGAGGGTGTCTATGGGAATGTTTGACCATTCTTCCAGAAGTGCATTTGTGAGGTCAGGCACTGATGTCGGGGGAGGAGGCCTGGCTCACAGTCTCCACTCTAAAAGGTGTTCTATCAGGTTGAGGTCAGGACTCTGTGCAGGCCAGTCAAGTTCCTCCACCCCAAACTGGCCCCTCCATGTCTTTATGGACCTTGCTTTGTGCACTGGTGCGCAGTCATGTTGGAACAGGAAGGGGCCATCCCCAAACTCTTCCCACAAAGTTGGGAGCATGGAATTGTCCAAAATGTCTTGGTAGGCTGACGCCTTAAGAGTTCGCTTCACTGGAACTAGGGGGCCAAACCCAACCCCTGAAAAACAACCCCACACCATAATCCCCCTCCACCAAACTTTACACTTGGCACAATGCAGTCAGACAATTACCGTTCTGGCAACCTCCAAACCCAGACATGTGCATCAGATTGCCAGACAGAGAAGCGTGATTGGTCACTCCAGAGAACACGTCTCCGCGGCTCTAGAGTCCAGTGTTTTTTCAGATGCGCATCAGTGAACTTGTACTAAAGGTTAGAATTTAATGGTTAAAAACAGAAATTAAAAAAACAATTAGTATTATAGTTACTTTTGGGGAGAAGGAGTTATATAGGAGTTATATTGGGCTGATTAGGGTAAACTAAGAGTTAATAAGGGGTAAACAGGAACAGGATTTGCAATTAAGTGAAACAGAATAGATAGGAAAGAAAAAATTTTATTTTGTATCTCTCTGTCTCTATATGAACAATGTGTCATCCAGCAAGTGTATGAGGAAGCGGGGCAAGAGGACAAGACATACTACCCACTCCCTGTGTACATATTTCACGTTTGTTTGGAGGTGTCTAGGACACCCAGTCTACTCAAATGGTTAAAATTTAGCAAAAAAAAGTTTTGTTTTTAATTTTTTTTTTAATGGAAATGGAAGGGTTAGAACATTATTCTCTATTGTGATTTCAGGACAGTTTTCTGTTTCTTTCTTGTCTGAGTAACAGGAGGAGGGATTTGTTGCCATTGATGTTTTGTTCTGGTGTCACAAGAAAAAAAGTGAGGAGAAATCTCCTACAGTTGGTCACGTAGAGCAGGAAAATCCAAACAAAAATGTATCCTCCCCCCCCCTCCCACACACACACACACATACTCAATCCAAAACTTAAAAAAAAAAATTGGGTGGAGTTTGGCTTCAAATGTCCCAAAAGGCGACCATAGATGGTAAAGAGTGACCCAACATACAGGCTGAGGACCCTTTTCCATCACTGTCGTCCAGTAGCCTCCTAAGTTGGTTGCCTTGGGTTTTCTAACCTGTCCAATTGCTCTTCCCCAAAAGCTTTGGCCAGTTGAGTAAGACTGACATACCAAACAGATTGCAATAACCTGATATGGTTGCGTTTGGTTGAATTTGGAAATGATCTCTTCTCTCCAGGTGGCCTCTGACCCACTGCCAATGTGTTATCCACTTGTGTTTGTATGTTGCAGCCTAGCCTATGGAGCCTGTAAAACAAAAAGCTTTTACCCACAGCATGCAAATATGAAAAGGATCTGAAACCTTCTGCCTCATAAAGAGATTTCGAAGTATTAATATGAAATATTTGATATTTACCTCACCCAAATAAGACTGACAAAGAATAAAATTAGTACACTAATGCTAATAAACAATTCTTTTCAAATCGTTTTTATTAGAGTTTTAATAAACAAATATAACAATGCAGGTTCAGAGTAGAAAATAAATACCACATTTGCATGTCACCTTGACATACATAGATTCATAAAATTGTGGAGAGAGATCAAAGTGACACATCGATGATAACCAATATATTCATACATTAGCGAGTAAAGCAAGTAAAGTCGGTTATGCCATCAGCTAATAAACAATTCATTGTATACACTATTCTTCTTTAAGATTCCTTTACACCTGTAGAATTTGGTAAAAAAAAATTATTTTTCAAAACATTCATTCAGTTATCTTAAAGGGGGCAATTCAATGATCAGTTTTAACTAGAGCAAGAAAAAAAAGTTGAACAAAGACAAAAAAATGTAGCTGCATCTACTTGATTACTAACGCATTTCTAATCTTTGAATTCTGTCCTGGCTGAGAAAATCAAAGCTAGTCTTATGCGCATATGCTTGTCAAAGTTAATCCAGATGGAATGTGTTCTACAAAAAAATCAAGACATTGACAAAAAGTCATTCAAAATGCAGGCATGATCGAGTAGTTGGACAATCGATTTTTATACTTTCTCATATGAACATTTGAGCAAAATTCTACAGGTGTACGGCCAGCATAACTGTTAGTGATTAAAGGCCAACTTCAGGGTCCATACTCTGCCAACAAGTGTCAAAACTCCTTCCACATAGGACTCCCAACGTGTATGCTATTATTATTTTTTTTACATTGATGCTGGAGTTACACTTATAGAATTTAGTTTGGATGAGAAAGTAAATTGCTTATCCAACCATTTGTTGGTGCTTTCTTTCAATAATTGGAAGTTTGTTCTTTCACATTAGATTCAAGAAAAATTTTCCATCGTTGTCCTTAGATTTTTTTTTTTGCTTGTTCTGGTCAAAGCTGATTGTCAAATCTTTCCCTTTAACTCTTAGATAATTCAAACAAATATTCTGAACACAACAATCTTTTAATAAAATTTTACAGGTGTAAGGACAACTATACTTACCTTTTTTTCGATGCCAGCTCTTCAGAAACCTGACATGTTGGGTCTTTTTCCTCTCCAAATCATCTCCATCAATGGGCAGTCTTGGAAGATGCATGTACTGTATACACAGCAAAAGCATCACCATCTTGTCAGAGGGCAGGGCCATAAAGTCCTGCTTTCACAGTAATGGCCTCAGTCTTCTAGGTTTTGTGACATTGGTGTCATCCAATCAAGTCTCCCAAAGTCAGGGGAAACCGTTGTCACCAAAACTGATCTCCACATTGAAAGATTTATATTCTATTCCCATTCTGGGGCTAGCTGGAAAATGTTGGATTTCCCATCACTTTCTCTTGCAGTGACAATGGTGACCAGGACAAAAAGAGAAGAGAGGTTGATACTTCCCATTGGGGACACTAAAGTTGATAAAGCCTTACAAAAGCTTTTAACCCCTCCCTATGGATGAGATTCAGGCTCATTGCTACCATGGGTTTGTAGTAAACCCTTGAGATTCTTGAAATTAATTGTGGACATTTGGTCAAAAAGTTTGCGGGTTCACCAGCAGAAATACAGAACAACCTATTATGCAATGCATAGCCTTTGTCCTGAAAAGAAAAAGATGATAATCTGACGGAATGGCTAACCCAGCATCCTTTCTATAAAGAGTGGGCTCACAACAGCCCTATTGTCAATGTGTGTTGGGGAGAGCTGATGCTTTGTGAAGGAAGAGATATTTTCTCTTTTTTTAATGTTGACATTGGTCTGTGTCCCTCAAGGCAGTGCCTGGCTTCCCTTGACTTTTGGTTGACAACAGTCTGTTATTAGCACTACAAATGTCCACAATTGAACAACATGATTTGTCCACCCTATGGACTTCAATGGGGGTTCACCATAAAATTTGAGAACTTTAGGCAAGATTTTAAGCAAAACTGTTCTCAAACTGAACTCAGATTGAATCATACCCTTCTCTACTCTATCCAAATGTAAAAAAATTAAAAAAAGTTTTGGCCATACATACCCTTTCACTGTATTCTTCCATTGAAATGAATAGGATAAAAAGATATGCAGGAATTATCATTGGTCCAACTGATTTAGAGTACTGTGTCTGCAACTGCCCCTTTGGGACCCAGTATTATTCATTCACCATATCAAACTATCATTTCCTACCAACCCAACCTTTTTCCTACCAACACAACCTGGTCCCATTGAAAGCATATAGGAACTCAATATTCATCCATTCACTCAACCCAGCCTACACTGCATACCAGCACAATGGAACCAACCTTCCCCAATATCAATGGTCATGTGTCTCCAGTACAATAAAGGATATCAAACTGATGGAGATTGTCACAAGCTGCTTGGGGCCTTTGAAGAAATATTTGGTAAAACACAGTACTATCTGGCTGGAATACATAAACACATGGCAATATGGGGCCTTCTGTACT